GCGGGTTAAGGCTGTCCCAAAATACTATTGCTGGATATTGTGGAGGGTTTAAGAAGGGTTCTCAGACATGAATCACTATTACTACGTAGTTGCTTTCCTTCCCAGTGCAAAACTTTTGGGCCAATTCCCTTTGGTTTAGCTTTTCAAAGAGAGTCTCTTAGTAAGATGATTGCACCTAACTATTGAGCAGTTAGGAAAGTCATCATGCAGTCCATTAGATCAGCTAGCACTCTGGCTCCAGAGTGACCTTAGATGGGACCAAAATGTTCTCTTGAAAGAAGAGCCTGTAACAAGCATAGCCAATCATGATTATTTCTCATGCTTCTTCCCTCTCTGCAAATGAAATTGAGCTGAGGATTGCACAAACGCAATCCTTTTTTCATGCAACTGTACCCTCTTCTGTGCCTTTGTTTATTTACTTGGTCTCCTATACCTTTGCATTTTGATGCAGACAAAAAAGCACAATTTAATTCCAGTGATTAAAACCCCATTTCAGTTTTTCTCCTGTTTTAGCCCTGCAAAATAAATTTAAAAGCTTACAATATGGCAAATATAAGCTCTCTCTGAGATTTTGGTTGATAATCTGTTTCACTTTAATATAATTATTTCTGGGCAACGGTAAGCTATGATATACCCTAGAAAAAATATATCTTGAAAACCAATTTGTCAATTTCTTTCTCAGTTTTTTTTTAATGCAATATGGGCTGACACTTTGTTTGGAGGCTTCATTAATATTGTATGATTCTTGTTATTGATTGGAAGATTTCTAAGTTCTAATCAGCCTGCAGAAAGTTATTTTTTAATACTACGTTAGCCTGAAAGGAACGAGGAGGATATAAAGGCAGAAATATTTGCACATTTTTTTCTATGTTCCGTGGTTTGATTTTTTTTTAAGTTCTCCCAGAGATACCTAAAAAACATAACATAAAAACTCAACTTACAACAGTTCATTTAGTGATCGTTTGAAGTTACAATGTCACTGAAAAAAGTGACTTATGGCCATTATTCACACTTACGACCATTGCAGCATTCCCCACAACCACGTGATCAAAACTCGGAAGCTTGGCAACTGACTCATATTTGTGACCACTGCAGTGTCCAGGGGGCCATGTGATCAACCTTTTGTGACTTTCTGACAAGCAAAGTCAATGGAGAAGCCAGATTCATTTAACAACCGTGTTTCTAATTTAACGGCGGCAGTGTTTCAACTTAGCAACCGTGGCTAGAAAGTTCGTAAAATGAGGCAAAATTCATCTGACAACTGTGTCACTTAGCAACAGAAATTTTGGGCTCAATTGTGGTGCTAAATCCGTGCCAGCTTTATTTTTTAATCCTCAAAAATGATCCTACTGGGTCATAATGTCTGCTTCCATTGATATGATCACATCATAAACATACCATAACCTTGGGTGGGAAGCAGAGGTGGTATTCAGCAGGTTCTGACCAGTTCTGGAGAACTGGTAGTGGAAATTTTGAGTAGTTTGGAGAACCAGCAAATATCACCTCTGACTGCCCCCGCTCCTATCTATTCTCTGCCTCCTGAGTCCCAGCTGATTTGCTGGGTCTCCTTTTGTTGCTCTTCACAGGAGAACGGAGCTGGAAAGCAGGTTAGTGGGGGTGAGGAGGGAATGGGATTTTCCGGTAACCTTCCCCTAGGAGTGGGATGGGAATTGAGATTTTACAGTAACCTTCCTCCAGGAGTGGGATGGGAATGGAGATTTTACAGTATCCTTCCCCTGTCACGCCCACCAAGCCATGCCAGGCCCACCAAGCCATGCCACAGCCACCAAGCCTCGCCCACAAAACTGATAGTAAATTATTTTGAATCCCACCACTGGTGGGAAGAAATACAAAAAGAAAAAGAAAAAAGGTGTGGTCTTTGAGCTAAACCACAAACCAGAATTCACTCAACTTGTTAAGCCAAAAGCAAACAAACCACAATATGACTTGTAATTGGACAAATAATTTGCTTCCCAAAATTCCTCTCTGCTACTCCTTGTGTTTTTATTATTGCCACACTTCGATGATAATGTGCTAGTTATTTGCTTACGTTTAAAATAAAAATTATCTGTACATGTCTGCTGCCAGCTATTAGTTCATTTGAGCACACTTGAGTGGATTAAAATCAAATATTTTCATAAACCAACAAGCAAGCGAATAAATAAGTGTCTGTTTCATATTTGTGCCCTTTGGTGGGAAAAGCTACACCATCTGTGCCTTTAGCAGTCTCTTCCCTGAATGTCAAGGACTCATTCCTTTTAAAGGACTACATGATGTTTTAAAGGTATTAAGGTTTATTATATTATAAAAAACAAATAGAAGCAAAAATCAGAATAGAAAAAGAAACGAGAAATGGGAAAGTGTCCAAAGATATTGAAACAAAAAAAGAGGAGGGAGAAACAGTGACTTTTGGCTTTTTCCCTGCAGAAGATACAAAAAAGTTGCAATCACAACTTTTTGCTTTACATTTCTAATAGACAAACCATTTCTATTGCCACAATGTTAATCTAATTATCAACAGCTAAAATCAAATTTGTCATCATTTTCTGTTTTGCCCAGAGACAGTTTCCATGTGGTTACGTTCTTGTCTTTAATTAAAGCAGTCAGCTTTGGAAGGGGACAACTTGCTATGGCTAACTCGCTACGGTACAATTCAGCAATTCAATGTAATTATTTAAAATAATTTAAAAAAATATTTTAATTTTTATCATTCCCATTTTATTTTGTCCCTCCTTTTGCATCTTTTCTTTAATGCTTTCATTCCACCATTATGTCAGTATTAGTGTAACTCTTGCCCCACAGCAAGTTGGCCATGGCGAGTTGTTTGTGGCAAGTTGTCCTAAACTCGTTCAGCTTTGCCATCTCCACCAACCCCATCTGTTTAACATCCATGCTTCCATTATGGAAATTGTTATCTCTTTCCATTTTGCACATATAAGATTCTTGCCTGATTAAATGATCCTTGTGTTTCCTTCCAGAAATATAATTCAGTTATTCTATGTTATACAAAATTATGTTTTGACTTAGTATGTGTAAGAATCAAACTGCTATGGTTGTGGTTGCTTGAATACGAAACAAAATCTGACACTATTATATCTAATACAAATACTCTATTGAACCTACATACTGAAATTGTGTTGAACCTGCAATTAAAAAGGTTAAAATATAGTATTTGGGCTTCTTTGCACAGGTTTTTTTTTTTTTTTTTTTTGGGGACTTGGTTGATCTTACCATCCTTTGAATTATTGAGAACTCAAAATTTTACATGTGTTTTGTGTGTGTGTGTGTGAAGTGCGCACCATGGTATTAGTCTCTATGATTTGGAGGCCTTATGAATGTAAACTATTATTATGGTCAGTTACATAGTTAGTCAGCTGTTTAGATTGGATTTGGCATTTTTATCTGCCTATGCTGTTGTTGTTGTTGTTGTTGTTGTTGTTATTATTATTATTATTATTATTATCCCAACAACTGGGTTCAGATTTTTTTATGGGACAATAGAGCTTTGATTTTATGATAAAGTTTCCTGAATGAATATTTTTAAAATATTAACAGTTGTCCCTGTTGAGCTACTTAAGAATAGGAACAATATTCTGTTTTGCTTTGTGGGTGCTGGTGAGTGTATCTAAACGACTTAAGCATATCATTTGAACCAGTTTCTTTCAGAACAAAATATAGCAAAGCTTTAAGTTAAACAATATATTTTTTTAAAAAGCAGCTAAAGAGAGACATCTGCTGGAAAGTACCTTGTTCTGTACTTGCCAGAGATTAATCAATTGTACTGTCGGTATAGTTCCAACTGATAAAACATTTTATCACACATGAATTGAGCAACTCAACAAGAAGCCAACTTCCTGATGACTTTCAGAAGAAACAGCAAAGTCTGAATTCAGTGCCTAGGATTAACACTGTGATAGTGTGCCATTTCCTTATATAAATCCAAAAACCATACATAGATACGTGTGTGTGTGTGTGTGTTTGTGTGTGGTGTGTATAACCATATACCTAGACATGTAGTTATGCTTTGCAATGCTTTGGATTCAAGGACCAAAAGATGCTTTAAAATGGATGCTTAGCCTTAAAATGATTTAGAAAGTGAATCTATCACAGCACTGGGAGAATGACCAATAGCAAATTAAGATAATGCGTGCCTATTTTCTTCTAAAAAGAGAAAGGTCAAGCTAATTCAAGCTTGACTGTGAATAATTTTATGGATATACTTATGTAGTTTTCTCAGCAACAATAAGAAAGTAAGTGATTGGCTAATGCCATATCCCAGAATATTTTATCGAGTCTAACTTACTGCCCTAGAATTTCCACAGAAATACTAAGCAAGCTTGATCCTGCTTAGCTTTTTTTTCAAGACTATCAAGGTCCTAAAATGTGCTGGAACTCTATGAGATTGGCAACTGTACTAATGCCTTCAATTATAGCCAAAACAGAGATTATGCAGGTGCAAATTGTCAAGGAATTCTGGAGCAGCTGTCCAGGTGAAGTAGGAGAAACGGACATAAACTTAATAGTCTTTCATATAAATATATTTAACATTTAAATTTATAGCAGTCTGTCCTCATCCGGAAGAGGAAGAACACAAGATAGTCAGGGAGACAGGAACATCATGAGGTAAACCTAAAACAGTATACAGAATTCACAGAAGAAAAAGGCGGGAAAATCCCCCCTTTTTACATATGGCAAACAATTATAGCATACACTTCATTGTTCCAGCTATTAAATTCAATGACCTAACACAAATGAAAATGGGATGCCCATATTGGTTGTTAAATTATTTTATTTGAAGTATATTATAAAATTCAACCATGAGATTTGAAAACGACAGGCTCCTTTGGCATTCTTAAAAAAAAGAATTCATAGAGATGTCCTTTTATTATTGTTGATTTTTTTAAAATTAATCAACTGATGTACCACCTCAGTTGCAAAGGCAACTCTAGATAGCTTATATATTAGAATTAAAATCTAAAACATAGAATAAGAATAAGATGCTATGGTAGATTAATTGCTTGATCCTCCTTCAACCTCGGGATCTTCTTAAATTCAGCTTGCTTTTTGAAGAACAGCTGGGCTAATATTTGGTCTGCTGTTGCATGGAAATAATCATCCATATCTAGAGTTTGCAACTGCCGAAACAAACAAACAAACAAACAAATAACATATTTGGAGATATCAGAGTATGTGTCAATGTTTATATACCATTGAAGTAATATTATGTAAATGTATGAATAATAATATGCAATATTATGTAGTATTATGAGAAGGTGCACCTGCCCTGTGGAATGAGATCCTCCCCACAATCTGAATGAATCCCACTCTACTGTTTGTTATAAGATCTGTGAAGATCTGGCTTTTCAGCAGCCTCCTTTGGCAAGGAAGAAGGTCACACCATTGGGTAACCCCATCACAGATGCCCAAGGCTTCTAAGTGGCTCACTTCCTTCGTGTTAAGTCAGGATAGCAGGAAGAAGAAATTTAGGATTTAATCCCTTGAGTGTAGAAATCTATGGCATTTTACATTGCAGGGGGCAGTCAATTTTTATATGTGAGGTGTCATTTTTGTCTTCCCTAAAGATCTTATCTAGCTAAACTCTTATCTACAGCTCTTCTGCCAAGTCAGCTTGAGAACATGAGCTATGGTTTAAATGTTTGGAGACCACTGATTTACTGCTGCAGCCAAAGGTGAGGTTTGATAGTTTTGGAATTGAATCTGAAACACGCTCCTAGATCCAGACAAATAGCGATAGCACATAGACTGATATATCACCTCATAGTGCTTTACTGCTTCCTCTGGGCAGTTTACAATATCAGCATATTGCCCCAAACAATCTGGCTCCTAAATTTTATCAACCCTGGAAGGATGGATGGCTGGGTCAACCTTGAGCCCCGTCAGGAACAAACTCCAGGCTGTGGTCAGAGTTTGCCTGAAATACTACATTCTAACCACTGCGCCATCAGGGCTCTTAATAAGAAACACAGAGAGTGGTTCAATCAAACATTATTCAATCAATGCTGATCACAGCTCTGTATGGGAGAAGCTGTTTTCTCAGACTCTCTGGTTAGTAGTTATTGAAGATCTTATGGAATAAAAGCAAAACTCAAAATCTACCATAGGAAGCCAGGGTAGGTTCAGCATTGTGGATAAGGGCACAGAGCAATTTTAGTAATATATGCAACGTACCATAATGTACACAGTTACTTGTTTTATTTTGATCCCCCAAACATTTAATACTTGCATTTGATTCATAATAACCGAGAGGTCTAGTGAAATTGTAGGGTTCTGCTGGCATGTATAGCAGAATTTCTAGGAATTCAAACAGATGTCTCACCTGGTTGTTGGTACTAAAGGCCAAAATGAGAAGCAGGTCCTCATCACATGTGTTCTTGATGTAGTGTTGGGTTCCAACTGGGAAGAACACAACATCTCCAACTTCAATGGTAAAGTCAGTAGAAAGAGTAGATGAAACAATAACACCTACCTGCAAATAAGATGCACCAGAACAAATTAATACTTGTATTTCCAGAAACTTGATTTTGGTTTATTCTCCAGGAAGTCCTTGACTTACAATCATTTATTTAGCGACCGTTCAAAGTTGCAATGGCACTGAAAAAAGTGACTTACAACTAGTCCTTATGACCATCGCAGCATGTCCAAGGACATGTGACTGAAATACCAATGCTTGGCAACTGTCCTATATTTACAATGTTTGAAGCATCCTAGTGTCATGGGTTCGCCATTACAACCTTCATCATTTACAACCTTAAGCAAATCAGGGAACCAGTTTTGCTTAACTACAATGTGATTCACTTAACAACTGGACTAATTTGCTTAACAACCATGGCAAAAAGTTCATAAAGTCAGGCATAAGTCACTTAACAACCACCTTGCTTACCGATGGAAATTCACGTGTAATTGTGAGTCAAGGACTATCCTTATTACAAAATTAACACGTTGCGTTGCTTATACCTGCGGATGGATTCACAGTGAACCATTGGTGGCCTCCTCTTATGAACAAATTGCCTGATTAATAGTAAGCTGAGTGAATGCATCAGGAAAAGCTGCCAGACGATTGGGGAAGGACAATCACACTCTTTGAAATAAGTTGATGGATATAGTACCATCTATCATGGGCCAATGGATTGTTTTATTACCTCCTCAACTCTACCTCACCAGAAGCTGAAAAGCAGAGTCCTTGACTTACAGCCACAACTGAACTCAACATTTCTGTTGCTAAGCAAGACAGTTGTTAAGTTAGTTTTTTCCCCATTTTATGACCTTTTTTTGCCACAGTTGTTAAGTGAATCACTGCAGTTCTTAATGTAGTAACACAGTTGTTAGGGGAATCTGCTTTGGCTTGTCAGAAGTTTGCAACCAACATAAATAGGAACGGGTTGCCAAGCTTCCAGTTTGGATTGTGTGACCATGCCGATGCTGAAATGGTCATAAATCAGAGGTGGTATTCAGCAGGTTCTGACCAGTTCTGGAGAACCAGTAGCAGAAATATTGAGTAGTCCAGAGAACTGGCAAATACCACCTCTGACTGCCCGCCCCATCTATTCTCTGCCTCCCGAGTCCCAGCTGATCGGCTGGGTCTTCTTTTGTTGCCCTGCACAGGAGAACGGAGCTGGAAAGCAGGTTAGTGGGGTGGGGAGGGAATGAGAATTTTGCAGTATCCTTCCCCTGCCATGCCCACCAAGCCACGCCCACAGAACCGGTAGTAAAAAAAATTGAATCCCACCACTGTTGTAAATGTGAAAAATGTCATAAGTCACTTTTTTCAATGCTGCTGTAACTTTGAGTAGTCACGAAACGAATGGTTATAAGTCAAGGGCTACTTGTAAAGCTTATCCAGGACTCTTCAATTACAATATCATTCCCAGAATTCTTAACTTTGGGAAATGTTGGCTTGCATCACAGTGGTTAAACTTAGGTTATTACCTTTCCGCAGCCACTGATGACATAGCCCATTTCATTGGCATTGAAATGGAAATGAGGCTGACGTAAAGCATTGTTGGAGATGCGGAGTGTTGCTAAAGTAAGAGCATCTTCCTTCTGAAAAGAAGAAACAAATTTTGCACATACACAATAGTAGCAATGGGGAAATTGCTGAAGAAGGACGGCATCCTTCTTATCATTATTTGCTTTTAAATTTTAATGGATTGTGGATAATTGTATTTACCAGAGGTATACTATGCAGTGGAATAATTTCCCATATTGCAAATGGATACATATATAAACTCACATTTTATAGGAGTTTTTAATGATACCACCCTCCCAAAATAAAATTTGAATAAGATAATGACTGCCATAACTAGCCTTCAGAGTAAGGTAGCAATTTTTACAGCATACTTACCGAATGGAGAAATTCACTGTAAATTTTTTCGTTGGGTTTTAAGCCTTTTCCGTCCTTTATGTACCGAGCCCACTGGATGACTCCTCCTGGAAACTGGAATTTGGAAGATCCTGAATTGAAAATAAACATAGTGGAAAAATTGGTAATCTCCTGAGTGATGATCAAGTGCTTTATATTAGCTCCATAATTTTATGTAGTATTATTTTTGCTTAATGGAGAGCTAATGTTTTTCACATTTTGTAGAACCCACGCTGAACTTTTGATATATGCCTGCTACAGTAATTTCAAAACCTTTTCTGCCTGCAGGAAATCTTAGTTTTAATTGATTGATTGATTACGTGCCACCAATTAGGCATTGATGATTAACAGCAATGAAGATAGATACTCTGCAAGATGATTTATCATCTGCTCAATACTGCAAAGGGGTGCTACCAACGGAGTGTTAAATGTATTGAAGTCCATTGGTGAATAACAATGGGGAGAGGCAGCTTGCTAGGAATGGATAAATATTTTCTCAAAATAATATCATGTTGAGAAAGAATGGTGTAATTGATGCTGAACTGATGGTATTTTTATTTTACTTTATTTAACAGTGATGTTCTCAATATATTATCATTTTAGTATGGATTTTTGCTGTTCTTTTCCATACCTGGTTCAAAGGGTATAGAAGAAACTCTATAGTTAACAAGGATATGATTATAAATTTATATTTTAAAAGTGTTTGATTTCATTGTTCGTCTTAAAAATAAGAAGGACCTCTTGATTTGGTTTCAATTTTGGGGTGGGGGTGGAGGGCAAAGAGCAGAATTATGGTATTGAGATTTATCATGTCTATCATACCAGTATCAAGCATACATACATTTACAAAAAAGATTACTTTTTTTTTGCAAACATCTAGGACCTAAATAATGCAAAAATGTCAAGCGTCAAAATTAATAGAAATAGTTTAAACATTGACCTGATCTTGCGTCAACCTATTCTCCAAAGCACTTGAAGGTAGGACAAGGAGCAATGGATGGAAACTAATCAAGGAGAGAAGCAACTTAGAACTAAGGAGAAATTTCCTGACAGTTAGAACAATTAACCAGTGGAACAACTTGCCTCCAGAGGTTGCAAATGCTCCAACATTGGAAGTTTTTAAAACGATGTTGGATAATCATTTGTCTGAAGTGGTGTAGGGTTTCCTGCTTCAGCAGAGGGGTGGACTGGAAGATCTCCAAGGTCCCTTCCAACTCTTTGATTCTTTAGCAATACCAATGCATGATTTAATGCAGCAAGCAAGAAAAGGCCTTCTTAGCCAATGCCAAAATACTATCTGCCGGATATTACACAACCAGGAGAATTTCTGATGGTGATTGCAACTGTTGTGTAGCTTATATGGGAGAAGGCCCTATCTCAGGCTGTTGATCCATATAATTAAGAGACTCCTTTTCAGGCCCAAGAATGACCAGAGCAGTTACTTCAGAATAGTTTCTTTATTATTGCTCCCTATAGACAGAAATCTTGCCAGACTAAACAGTTATTTGCATGACTATTTGTATGATATATCCCAAGGACTTCTCAGGGAGTGAGGGTGGTTCTTCACCCTTTTCCTGCATGCCAAAGATTCAAAGTTTATTGTCTCTTTTCTCCCTGGGAAAGAACCTTCTGGATTACATTACATTACGCTCCTATATTATTTCCAGGATAAACATTTCTGTATCTGATTGGAAATACAATGCATGAAAATGTGATGATGTCACCACTCTTTGCTGCATTAAAAGCCCCAAAGTCCTATAAGGCAAAAGTGGTTCTCTTCTGTATGTCCCCCTTGCTGGCTCTGTAGTACCTTTTAGGTCAAAGAAGTACCGCCATACAAGCATATCTGCAGACTGGTTGTAGCTGGCATTCTGAACAAGTTCTGCTAGGTTGGGTGGAAGATTGATGGCTTGGTCTTCTGCTTGCTTTTGGAATGACCGGATGAAAGCCATACCACCTTGAGGCTAGAAAACACAAGTAAATATCATATTTAGTGGATCCAGGAATGGCAATGACTTCATCCAATAAAGTTAATTTATGCTTACAAAGAGGTGAGTGGTAATGGAGTACAAATGGCGAAAATTGTTAGGTGCCAAAGACCAAGACCACACATGAAGTTCCAGTTAAAATGATTTATTACTACTCTGGCCTGTGCACAGGAATCTACTCAACTAATGGTTAGCATTATTTTGACACTAGATAAGGGTCAACAGAATTCAACAGAAGTTGAACTTAAGACTGTTCCTGGCTACTTAGAGACTGATTCCTCTTTTGACCTCAGGTTCAGATCTCAGGTTCTGACTTCAGGTTCTGCCATCCCTTCTTTTACAAATATTAAGCTACAAGATTTTGATTATTTCTCCTTTTGAAGGGAAGGCCTGGAGAAAAATGCTCAAAGTTAGCTTCAGCCAAAGTCTGCTTGCTTATTTTATATCTTACCCAGAGAGATATTTGAATTTGGCAATGGATAGGTATCCAGGAGCAGGCTATTCAGCACCTGTTCAGAATGGCAGTCAAAGTAGTTGTGGATCTGTTAAGAAATAGGATTCGGAATTCCCATTGTACAGACCTTTAGAGATCTTGCCTCAATGTCTTTGGGTGTCAAGAAAAATGTATCATCAAGGTCCAGAGTTTGAAGCTCCTCATGGGTTGTAAAAAACAGCAAGAACAAACACTCTTCTGCACCAATATTCTTGACCCAATGCAAGGTATTTCGAGGGAAGAAAATCGTCTGTCCTGCCGTGACGTTGTATGTAGCTACTGTATTTCCATCAGCATCAACTACCCCAATCCATGCAGTTCCCTGTGAAAACACAACAGCAGCAAAACAATATATTACAATTGACCAGGAAATCATGTGGGGAGAGAACAACACAGCAAATGAGAGTCTGAAATTGATTTGGCTTGAACAGTATGTGCGTTAAATTTATGATCTGCATAAACATGTATTTATATGGCCATAAAAAGGTCATCATGTGTATAGGACAATAGGAACAACCTTGGGGATCAGGTGGCTACAACCAAGGCCATAGTCATATAAAAGGAATCTAAGTCTGGAGCATAAATGTCAAGAAAGCATCTCAGACTAAACTTTCCTTAGTTCTTGTGGAAATAAAGGGAGGGATGGGAGAGGCATATTCAGATTTGCAGGATTGAAGTCAGCTTTCATGATAGACTAGACTAGGAAACCAGACTTAGGAACATTGGTACTACTTTTATTATAAGGTTATAGTAATAACAGAGGTGGTATTCAGCAGGTTCTGACCAGTTCTGGAGAACCGGTAGCAGAAATTTTGAGTAGTTCAGAGAACCGGCAAATGCCACCTCTGACTGGAGATTTTACAGTATCCTTCCCCTGCCAAACCCACGCCCACAGAACCAGTAGTAAAAAAAATTGAATCCCACCGCTGAGTAACAACCTTGCAAGTCTGAATGTGCATGCTTTCTTCACACAGTATCAGGTCCAATACCAAGAATAACACAAACTGAGTTCTATATTGTTTCCCAACTACAGACAAAAATCTTAACAGGCTGAGGATTCTATCTGCATCTACAATATACTCTGTGAACAATTAAAGAGAAGCTCTCTCTCTCTCTCTCTCTCTCTCTCTCTCTCTC